CAAGTTTCACCTCACTTAAAACAGACATAAAAATACAAAAAAGTGCCATAGCACACTACTGCTGAAAAATTGCGACTCTCTCATTTTTATCATATAATTATAAAATCATTGGAATATAAATATTGTACTTACATTTCAGTATATAGAGTAGTATAAATAAGTCATTGTATGAAATTTTAGTTTGTACTGTCTTAACTAATACTTTTTATGTAGCCTGTTAAATCTAGATGAGTTGCTGTGTCCCTTGGAAGACCTCTGTGTACCCCCAGGGGTACATGTACCCCTGGTTGAGAACCTCTAATACTTAGTCATGCCATGAGTGCATGGGACTGGACTAGATGACCTCTTCAGGTCTTTTCCAGTCCTATGATTCTATAAATTAAATACAAGTTTATTTTTAAACAATATTTAAAATTTGAAATTGACAACCTATGTTAAGGCTTACACTTACTAAATTAAATTATATATATAAAAATGATATTTAGCAGCTCATGTTTGCTGCCAATTTTTAAAGAAAGTCAAACCACTGAACTCACTGGCTAAGCACCTGGAACCAGAGTTGGTTGAAGTACTAAAACAGCATTTGACAGCACTAGCCTTTTCTGCAGGTGCAGACAGAATATTACCTTAATTTCATTTTATTCAAGATGCTCAGTTCAATGACTATTTCATTCAAAGTTCAGACACCAATTGGGAGTTGAAAACCAGGAAAGCTTGTTTTCTTCTTCCAATCTATGAATAAAAACTAGGTGTGAGGATACAATCTACTAGTTCTAAAGTCTCGAAGGCAGTTATTACCAGGATCAGTTCAATTCAGTAACTACTAGGGCTGTCAAGTGATTTAAAAAATTAATCATGCGATTAAAAAATTAATCTTGATTAATCACACTGTTAAACAATAGAATACCACTTATTAAAATATTTGTGGATGTTTTCTACATTTTCAAATATATTTTATTTCAATTACGCAGAAAAAAATGTACAGTATTTTTCAATTCACCTAATACAAGTACTGTAGTGCAATCTCTTTATCATGAAAGTTTGAACTTACAAATGTAGAATTATGTACAAAAAACTGCACTCAAAAATAAAACAATATAAAATTTTTGAGCCTGCAAGTCCACTCAGTCCTACTTCTTATTCAGCCAATCACTAAGACAAACTAATTTATTTCCATTTGCAGGAGATAATGCTGCCCGCTTCTTGTTTACAGTATCACCTGAAAGTGGGAACAGGTGTTTGCATGGCACTATTGTAGCCGGCATTGCAAGATATTTACCTGCCAAATGTGCTAAAGATTCATACGTCCCTTCATGCTACAGCCACCATTCCAGTGGACATGCGTCCATGCGCATAGGTTCTGCTCAATAACAATCCAAAGCAATGCAGATCAATGCATGTTCATTTTCATCATCAGAGTCAGATCCCACCAGCAAAAGGCTGATTTTCTTTTTTGGTGGTTCAGGTTCTGTAGTTTACGCATCAGAGTGTTGCTCTTTTAAGACTTCTGAAAGCATGCACGACACTTTGTCACTCTCAGATTTTGGAAGGCACTTCAGACTCTTAAACCTTGTGTCGGTTAGAAATCCCACACTGGTACCATCTTTGAGTTTTTTGAAATCTACAGTGAAAGTATTCTTAAAATGAACATGTGCTGTGTCATCATCCGAGATTGCTATAACATGAAATATATGGCAGAATGTGAGTAAAACAGAGCAGGGGACACACAATTCTCCTCCAAGGGGTTCAGTCATAAATTTAATTAACGCATTATTTTTTAACGAGCGTCATCACCATGAAAGCATGTCCTCTGGAATAGTGGAGGAAGCATGAAGGGCCATATGATTGTTTAGCATATCTGGCACGTAAATACCTTGCAATGCCAGCTACAAAGGTGCCCATACAAATGCCTGTTCTCACTTTCTGGTGATATTGTAAATAAGAAGAGGGAGCATTATCGCCTGTAAATGTAAACAAACTTGTTTGTCTTAGCGATTGGCTGAACAAGAAATAGGACTGCATGGACTTGTAGGCTCTGAAGTTTTACATTGTTTTGTTTTTGAGTGCAGTTATGTAACAAAAAAACCCTACATTTGTAAGTTGCACTTTCAGGACAAAGATTGCACTACAGTACTTGTATGAGGCGAACTGAAAGATACCATTTCTTTTATCATTTTTAAAGTGCAAATATTTGTAATAAAAAATATACAGTAACTCCTCGCTTAACGTTGTAGTTATGTTCTTGAAAAATGCGACTTTAAGTGAACGATGTTAAGCAAATCCAATTTCCCCGTAAGAATTAATGTAAATGGGGGGGGGGGTTAGGTTCCAGGGAATTTTTTTTCGCCAGACAAAAGACTCTCTCTCTCTCTCTCTCTATATACACACACACACACACACACACACACACACACACATACATACACACACACACACAGACACACACACACGATAAGTTTTAAACAATTTAATACTGGTACACAGTGATGATGATTGTGAAGCTTGGTTGAGGCAATGAAGTCAGAGGGTGGGATATTTCCCAGGGAATGCCTTACTGCTAAATGATGAACTAGCATTCGGCTGAGCCCTCAAGGGTTAACAAATTGTTGTTAATGTAGCCTCACACTCTACAAAGCAGCACGAATGGAGGGAGGGGAAACAGCATGGCAGACAGAGACACACACCGTGTGTGTGTGTGTGTGTGTGTGTGTGTGTGTGTGTGTGTGTGTGAGAGAGATGTGCATTGCCCCTTTAAGTATGCTGACTCCACTCTAAGTACATTGCCTTTTTAAATAGATTAGCAAGTTGAGACAGCAGCTCCTGCCAGCAAGCTCCCTCCGTCCTGAGCCCTGTCGTGTCCCCCACTTGCTCTATGGAGATGGAGCAGGTGCACGAGCAGGGGGAAGGGGGACACCCTGACATTAGCCCCCCTCTTCCCTCCCCCTTGCACAGCAAGCAGGAGGTTCTGAAGAGCAGCTCCAAGGCAGAGGGCAGGAGCAGCACATGGCAGTGGGGGGAGGGACAGCTGCAATTGCTAGCCTGCTGGGCAGCTGCTGCACAGGGAACTTAGGGGAGTGGGAAGCTGATGGGGGGCTGCCAGTCCACCCTGGTTCCAAGCCCCCACCAGCTAGCTCCAATGGGCTGCTCTTTCTGCAAGCAGTGAACAAAGCAGGCGGCTGCCAAACGATGTTATAAGGGAACATTGCGCAACTTTAAACGAGCATGTTCTCTAATTGATCAGCAATGTAACTACAAAACAATGTTAACCGGGACGACTAAGTGAGGAGTTACTTTGATTTCAATTACAACACAGAATACAATATATATGAAAATGTAGAAAAACATCCAAAATATGTAATAAATTTCAATTGGTATTCTATTGTTTAACAGTGCAATTAAAACTGTGATTAATCGACAGCCCTATTAACTACACATACAGTACTTCCTTAGTTTAATAAATCAGTTTTAAATGTAAAAATATAAATATATGGAGATATACCTATCTCATAGAACTGGAAGGGACCCTGAAAGGTCATCGAGTTCAGCCCCCTGCCTTCACTAGCAGGACCAAGTACTGATTTTGCCCCAGATCCCTAAGTGGCCCCCTCAAGGATTGAACTCACAACCCTGGGTTTGGCAGGCCAATGCTCAAACCACTGAGCTATGTATTGATAAATTCTCTTCTGTACCAAGCACTTTTCTTTTTAAATTAAAAATGACATTTTTGTGCATTTTAATTGAATTTCCATCCACAGCTTGACAAATCATAAGTAAAAGATTAATCTAATTCTAGTAAATAAACTGCGTAGTTCACCACTTTCTAACACAATAAAAATATAAAAATTGAGAATCTGAATAAATGTGTTAAACTATATAATTCCTTTAAAAATGTATAGATACAGTGTTTCCTCCTGGTTAGCAAAAAAAAGCAACAAGTTTAGTGTAAGTTTAGCTATATTTAGTTACAAATCAACATTTTAATTATTAACAATTAACAAGAGTCAACCTTTCTTTAGGAAAATACCTAAAAAGTACAAATGCAAAATACGATTACAATCTATTTAAATCAAGGCTTCCTGATTTAAATTATTAAAATTGATTTAAACCACTGATTTAAATCAGTGCACCCTGCTATTGTTCATTTCTTGCTTAGTCTTATTTTTAAATGTGAATCTGGTTAACTACATAAATCATTTATGAATCCACATTCTGCCTATTCTGATTTGTCAATTTTGATCCCCTGTATTACTGGCTCCCCACCAATTTATTAGATTTAGCCACTTCTGAAACTGAACCTACTTGCATTTAATTTACTTAGGCAGGAAAATAAAGTATTCTATTACTGTGGCCTGGTCTACACTACAAACTTAGGTCGAAGGAAGCAGCATTAAGTGGATCTAATAATGTTCCTGTCTACACTACCAAGTCCCTTCTGCCGACCTAAGTTACCCATAAAGTCGACTTCTGTACTCCACCTCCGCGTGAGGTGTAGCGCTTGATTCAACATCCACGGGTCGACCTGGGGATAGTGTAGACCAGGGGTCGACAACCTTTCAGAAGTGGTGTGCCGAATCTTCATTTATTCACTCCAATTTAAGGTTTTGCGTGCCAGTAATACATTTTAACATTTGTAGGTCTCTTTCTAGAACTCTATAATATATAACTAAACTATTGTTGTATATAAAGTAAATAAGTTTTTAAAATGTTTAAGAAGCTTCATTTAAAATCAAATAAAAATGCAGAACCCCCCAGACCAGTGGCCAGGACCCGGGCAGCGTGAGTACCACTGAAAATCAGCTCGTGTGCTGCCTTTGGCATGCGTGCCATAGGTTGCCTACCCCTGGTATAGACACTATGTTGTGTAATTTTAATTAATTGGCCTCTAGGAGGTGTCCCACCGTGCTCCGCTGTGATTGCTCTGGAGAGCACTTTCAACTCCATTGCACAGCAGCCAGGTACACAGGAAATAGCCCCCCTCTCCTGTTAAAGCCCTCGGAACTTTTGAATTTTCATTTCTTGTTTGATCAGCATAGAGAGCTCCACTACCCATGTTTACCATGCTACTGCTGTACCCTTTGTCACTCTTGAAGGCCTGTAGTTAAAGAACTACTAACACATACAGGTTTGAAGCTACACCATATATTTGTAAGTAAAATAAGTAGATTTGACCGAAAACAAGTTTACAAGTCATGTATTGAGCCCTTTGAAGAATCTGAAAGTACAAGACAATTTAAAATTTGAAACACCACAATGGAATATTACCAAAACATTTTTATGTTCCCTAAAAGCTTTGACTGTCATACATTAGTTTCAGATGAAACAATGATTTTTCCCCTTTTGATGTCAGTTTGGTTACAGCTTCAGGAATCAGTGCAGCATAGTACAAATTTTGTTAACAGGTAATGATGGATTCGGGTAGGTGCAAGAACATTCTGCAGAAATAACTTAAGAAATTTAAATGTTTCCTCCCAGAAAAAAATAAAATAAAAGTGCTGAAGACGTATGTGCAACTTACAAACATACTGGAAAGATATACAAAGAATGGAATTCTGAAACAAGACAAATGAATATTAATCTTGTATCACAGCTTAAGAAAAGAAAACTAAAGTATATCAATTATATTGTTAATCATTAGCACAGATATTTACACAGAAAGTCGCTGAATTATGTTTCTATAGAAAAACTAAGCTAATAAAATTTAGTTTCCATTTCTGAAACAGAAACATTGTTGCATAAGCACAAAGGTAAGATTTGTTGCCTGAAAATACTCTAAGAACAGAACATTTTCCCTTAGTTCTGCAAGTCACTGTTTCCTATGAATCAAAGTAGGAGCACACTGATTTATTACAGCTATCCTTTAGAGCACACTCCCCCATTTATTGCTTATCAGGTAATATTAACGAGTACCCCTGTTCTGTAAGCCCTAATTACAGAAAGTGTTTTCCCCCTTTCAATATTTATTTTAAAGCAGATCAAACCTTTTACTTCCGTGCTTTTTAAAGAAAATAGCATCTCTTTGTTCAATTTAAAATTATAGCAATTCTTATGTTAATTGCACTCTTTAGCTAGTTGGATACTGAATTGATAATTATTGCTTTACATTGTAATTTTGCTAAAAACATACAGTTACAATGTACAGATTGGGAGACTAGTGCAATATGCAGCATTGACTGTTTATTCAATAAATACTTTTAACCCAATTATTGCCAGCCAAGGCAAACAGTGCAGAAATTGTCACTTAATAAACAAAGATCTATATATAAATTTAACAATTTTTTTTTTATAAAATCAGTTGCTACTATATTCCCATACAATTATTTCAGAGGTTTTTTTCACATAAAAATTGACTATTATAAAAATATAGAAATGTCAACGTTTAGGATTTTACAAATCTTCACAAAGCTAACTTTTACATTTATATAGGAATATCACACTTTTGTAGAAAAGAACTTGATAAAAGTAAAGTGAACTCTGTTAGAGACATTTTCTGCACTGACCATTTTGTAACTTAGTTACAGCTTTCTTGGTCATGTGTATATATATGCTTAAAAGGAAATAATTTGCATTCCCCTTTTAACTTGAGGTCAGTTGTGTATAAAGAAGAGCCATTTTTACAAAGGTGTTCACAGATTGTTGGTCAGAAATTTTTCACACTAGCTTATTTAAAAATAAATTCCAATCTTCACCTAAAAATACCTCCCGCTAATGTGAAAACAAACAAATTAGTGTTGTGTTGGGAAGCAATTCAGAACAATTTAATAAATTTCAGCAACAAAATGTTACTTAAACCACCAGTCAAAATTTAACAATGCAATTGTCAATTACTATTTCTGATACCTATAAAATATAAAAATGCAAGAAATCTTAAAACTATTTTGAAGAGAAATAAGATTGTATAACCATGTGGAGAACATCAGACTAAATTTATCCACCAGAGATATTGACCCAGTAATTTGATGCATGCGAGTGAGCCTCTACAACTTTTGTGGAAGCCCACTCAAGTTTGTGGGAATCTGCACATGTACTGGGGCTGCCCTCACAGATTAGGTTACATGATTGGGGCCATAGTCACTCACTGCATTGGTGTGAATACAATAATGTGCTTTCCAAAACCTTATTTTACCACAGCAATTATTTTCAATAGCACCATCACTTTCTCAGATATCTGTGCCATGCAAATCCAGATAGTATGCAACAGGTTTGTTTCTTCCTGAAACACCACAGTCATTACAAGGCACTGCTTGTCATAAATAAATGCAAAACAATTTCCCCCCCAAATTAGTGACATTTAAAGTATGAATATATGTTACGAAATGTCAATTCAATTTATCATTACATAACATGGTTAGAAAAAGCTAAACATTTGATGGAATTAACCAAAATATATTTATCATAGTTTCATGCATGTTTATTATTTTACCATATAAAAAAACAGAAATGATAAAGTATCACTATCAAATAATGTAGCATGGTTGTTAAATAAAGAAAGCTACGCTGAATTTTCCAATCTTCAACAAAAAGTCTACTCTAGACATAACTCAAGTATAAGAAGTTGGAAAGTTATCTGATATATTTGCAACAGTCTATCCCTGCAGAAGAGTGAAAAGCCTATTGTCTAGAACATTCATATTGAGGCACATTGTAGTTGAAGATACTCAGGCAAATGTTATGGCTAGAATAGAATTTCAGAGGAGTCTGGCTACAGGTTTCCCCAAAAGCAGCTCTTTATAGTTCAAAACACCAATTGCAACGCCTGAAAACAATATTTGGTCCTTAATCACTGCTATCATCATCGTCGTCATCATCGGATACATCATTTAAAGGGGACTTAGGTGACTGGCTGTAAGAGTCTGATCTAGTGGGCTGACAAGTAGTCATCTCCCCAGTAGAAAGAAGATCATAACAGAAGTCACAAATCCGCACAGGCTTGGAGGACTGACTGGGAAGAAGAAACCTCTTTTCAGAACAGGGTCCGCATACAACAAAGCCACATTTGCGACAGTGGTGACGACGATTGACAGGTGTAAATTTTGCTTTCTGACAACGCATACAAACAGTAGCCTCTGAGTCAGGTACCCAGACAGCTGCATGTTCATTACTGGGAGTCTTCCCACTTTTGGAAAGCAAATCAGAAACACATTTATTTATGTGGCTCATCCATTCAGACTTCTCTGTGGCAGTGGCAGCATAAACTGCAAAAGATTTTGTAGGTGTCTTGATAAGCCACCCATTCCGTAAGTCCCCCTCATCTTGGATGGAATCAATAGTGACATTTTCCAGTGGAATTATGTGCTGTTTATTGTATTTTTTCTTCTGGATAACAATGTTGCCATAGACAAGAATATCATTGAATAAGAAAAACTGTCTTGCTTTAGGTTTCTTCCTACACAGCTTTGTTAACACTCCTTCTCCAATCAGAACACGACCAGGAATAGTCAAAGGTTGACCTGCTGCTCCAAAACAGTTTTCCACTATACTTATTCGTCTAGTATTTGCTTCACTGTTTGCCAAGCGATCCACCATCTTTTACAGGTATCCTAAAACAAAAATTAATATTTTGTTAGAATAAGACTGATTCACAAAAGCATTCTATAGTCAAATAATTTAGTAAAACAAATTATTTGAAACAGCTAACAAGACTGATGGCTCCGGGCACTGCTAACTGATAGCACTTTTGTATTCAATTCCTGCTCAGGTCAGTAACAATTAAAAGTTTCCATCAATGGATGCCTTTTTAGTAGGCTATTTGAAAGAAAGTTGATCTGTCTAGTTCCCAGTGGACAGGTGTCCACATCACAGAAACCACCACCATAAACGACACCAATAGCAACCTTGTTGATAATATTCGGAGACAGGGTAGGCGATTGAATGACCCTCCTTATCCCTAGAGGTGGTCCCTTCTCCAGGTACGGATAAATGCCCATTGGTAGACCAGCATAGAAAGACTTGCACAGCCACTGCTGAGCTGTACCTGTTCTCTAGACTATATTTCTGAATGTCTGACACTATTCGCAAGCTCTAACATTCACAAGTTTGACACAACTGATGGTTTGTTTAGAAATTGAGTTAACACCAACAGGAACATCACAGGACACGCTAGCATAAATATTGTTAATACAGCTAGCCATTATCTTAATTCTTAAGTGTATCTAGTATCTTACACACACATATAATATTGCTAAGTTGCATTGTACATACATTTCAGTCATGGGCTGAAAATTCTACACCTGCCTACTCCTCACTGTGAAGTTTTTCTTGGTGAGGATAGGTTTCTAAACAATCATCAATTTCCACAGAATTGAAGTGCTCAAAAAAGTTTCTAGCCTTTATGGTTGCACAGATATAGTAGTCTTTCAAATATGAACAAAAAGAAAACTGTTGCAAAAGTGTTTTCATGCATCTGCAGATAGTTTTCCACTGCATCTTCTGTTGTTCAGAGCTTTGCCAACAGGCAGAAAAAAGGAAGTGAAGGCTGATTAGTTTCATAGTTGCTATTCAGAACTTTAAGGTCAACAGTAAACTTTCAAGAATTGTGTCTTTTTGCTGATGCTTGGGAAAGATCTGAACAAAAGCAAGTATTGGTGTTCTATACAGAGAAGACCTACCTCCTCAAAAGAGGTGGAGAGTGGAGACCTGTTTTCCTCCCACCTTTCATCACAACAAAGAGGCACTGAAGGGGGAGAACAAAAAGCCCCTCTTCTCTTTCAGCTGCTAAAAGGAGGTTGGGTAGAAGTTTATGGACACCTACTAGCCAGAGATTAATATAAAAAACACAGAGCCCCACTTCCCTAAATTGGGCTCAAAGGCAGTATACCAGCAGAAATCTTAGCTTCTGTGGGCTGGGCTTTTCACCAGAGTACTGCCCCTGGTTCTCACTGGTGGGGGGCCTCATACGACAGCAACAAGCTCCAGAGGAAGCCAATAAATAAAAGGTACATGACAAGAGAGGTTTCTTGGGTTTTGTTTACATTTATCACAGGCTTTTATAATCCCTCAGTGACCCATTTATGAGGTTTAAATACTGCAGTAACTGCTCTTATGGCATCTCTGGGCTAGTCTATACTAGAAGCGCTACAGGTGAAGATGTTCTCTGCCCACAGGAGAGAGCTCTTCTGTCAGCATAATAAAACCACCTTCCCGAGAGGCGGTAGCTATGTCAACGGAAGCAGCTCTCCCACCGACATAGTGCTGTCCACACCAGCACTTAGGCTGATGTAACTTGTGTTGCTCAGGGGATGACTTATTCACACCCCGAACGACGCAAGTTATACCGACTAACCTGTAGTGTAAACTACAATTCCACCATATCTCATTATTTTGTGCCCATAAATGCCTGAGACATTAAAATGAAATATTTGTTTAATTCTTCACTTTCTTTTGTTTATTGAAGTTTACCCAAATAGGACAATTTGGGGTTTTATTCATATTCAAGGAATCCAAACATACTGCTCGAATTACTATGGCATGCACCTATACTCCAAAGACAATTCTTGTTCAGTATTAAGTTCCACCTACAGTTATTAATTTTAGCCACACGTCCCAGATATATGTGCCACTGAGGTGTCCTAAACCCAAGCAGTAAGTACACCTCTAACTATCCCAAGAAGAATTCAAAATGTAAGTAGTGTTTCAAACTAAGTGATCAGCTTCACAACTGCCAGCATGAAGATCATTTACTTTCTGGAGAAGTACTAGCAACAATAAGTAATAGGATTGCTTGCTGCCTGACTATACCCTGCCTGACAGCTAGTTTTGGGGATGTGATGCAAATGAGGTTTGGCACCAAGAAGTCTTATGATTGTTAGCTGCTGTCTGAGGATCAAAATCACCAGTCCAGATTGTTGACTATTGAAGAACAGGATAAATTTCTTGTTTGTGTAAGAGTTAGTTGTGTAACCACTCTTGCTTAATGGTACACTTGTAATAAGCAACCTTTTGTGAATGATTAGATGCCAAAGCTGAGGCATGTTTATTCCAGCAGCCATTTATAATTAAATTTACAAAGCAACAGAAGTTAGTCACAGATTTGGTCCAAAGGGTATCTATCGAGTTCACAGGCGAACACTACTAAAGCATACAGCCAACTGGGCACAGAATAAGCTATGAAAATGTATAGAACAAAACTTGTTCTTCTATAAATGTCATAGTTTGTGCCCAGGTGGCTACATGCTTTAACTAACCCACTGAAGAACACAGCATAGCTTCACTGATCCAGTTCACAAAGAGTTAAGCAGACCTGTAAGAAGTACTTTGTTCAGCAAATTTTTCTGGTAAAGTTTAATAGGATAGCTTCTCAAAGTGAGTTGAAGAGTAAATTCTAACCACGATAATTAAAGATAAAAGACAATTTAAGATGTATGGGTTCCAGAACATGGGTTTTAGTGACTCCACCTATAGCTTGTTATTAAGCCACAAGTTACTGGGCTCAGTGCAGGAAGTTCTATGGCCTGTGTTATGCAGGGCAGGAGACTAGGTCTGGTGCCGCTTTGAGTTGGCATGTCCTGGTTTGTGGGGAGCAGCTTGCTTCTCATGAGCTGGCTCAAACAACTCTCCAACCTCTCTAAGAAGTGGGAGGGTTCGAGAAAGTCTCTAAGCTCATTCCAACTCAAAGTGGCCCCAGACCATGCCATAACGACAGATGCAAAACCTGCAGACATATCTCCACTGCTACAATAATCAACACCCCCACAACACATCTTTCAAGATCCATGGGCCCTACACACGTAGTGTACCTCATCCAGTGCACTAAAGGCCCCAACAACAACTAAGGGCATGTCTTCACTAGCAACATTAAAGAGCTGCCACGGCAGTGCTTTAATGTGGCTGTGTAGTTGCATCACCAGCACTGGGAGAGAGCTCTCCCAGCACTATAAACAAAAACAAACACCTCCATGAGGGGAGTGGCTCCCAGCGCTGTAGCACTGTCTACACTGCCATGTTACAGCGCTGAAACTTGCAGCTCTCATAGGGGTGTTTTTTCACACCCCTGAGCAAGAGAGTTGCAGTGCTGTAAAGTGGCAGTGTAGACAAGTCCTTAGTGGGTGAAACCAAAACAATCACTACACTCTTGATTGAATTTACATAGGAAAATTATCAGAGACAAACACACCACATCACCTGTGGGTGAACACTTCACAGAGCCATCACACTATATCTGGCCTATCAGTCCTCATCCTCAAAGAAAACCTGCACAACACTTTCAAAACCCTGAAAGCTTAAATCATACTCTGATAGACACTATCCACTAACTCCCTCTTTTTGTCTGATGACTGCAGAGGTGTTAACAAGCCACTCTACCTTGAATGGTCTCTTACAATGTGCGCTAACTACTTATGCTAAACAATATTTTCCACCTTGCATTTTGCAGTGACATGTAACCAATTTCTGCAGGCTTTAAGAACTCATTCAAAACATTTCCAACCTTTATGGTCAAGAATTTTCCGAACATGAAGCAATGTAGGGGGTTTCTTCCTGAAACTACAAACATCCATCTTCAGTGCCTCTGATCCTGCTAAGAGCTTTCACAGGCAGAAGCAGACTGAAAACAAGACAGTGGTTTCTTGAAGCCTTCCAGATACAACCTATTGGGCTCGTCGATAGATAAGAATTATATCATATTAAACCATGATCTTGAGCAGTCTTGAGAATTAAAAACGTTAAGAACAATTTAGCATTCAGTTATGTTAAACATGACGACCCCCATTTACACCAAATGCTAAGCGGTGTTTAAACGTTGTGTCAGTTTCTAAATGCTGTCCAGGTCATGCTCTAACCTGATGCAATTTCTCTGTAAGTTTACAGGTGCAAGCCAACTTAACATAACCAGTTTATAACAGATATAAAAAAAAAGTCCACAAACGATAGTCACTGGTTTAAATAAGATGATTTAAGTTAAACCAGTGCAACCTCCAGCTTTAGATAATACCAGTCAGATAAAGAGACCCCAAAGTTAACACCCCACAAGTGACACAAAGGGAAACAAAACAAAAAAACACTTACAAGCCTCCTGCAGGGAGGCAGAGTTCCCAGTGGGAGCAGAGCCTTCATATTCTGTTGTTATGCTTCCCTCCATGCAGCTCCAGCTTGGGGGGGAGGGGGAAGAGGAGGAGGAGGAGGAGAAGGGCGGGAATGTTGGGGGCTGAAAGGAATGGCTGGCACGTGCTGCATTCCAGCTATTCCCAACGCTACAGCTGGTTATTAATTCTCAAACTTCTCTTTAGCGCCCTCTCCTGGATTGTCCCAAATGGCTCTGTGGGGGTGGGGAGACATCCTGTGTTCCCACAAGACCTATCCTACCCACCATGAGGCTTCCACAGCCCAGCAGGGAAGCAGGCATTCAAACGGACAGTTGTTGTTGCCTCTGCAATTGCACAGAAGGCCAACAGGGAGCTGCTCAGAACACTCCTGTCTCACGCCAGGCAACATAACAAATGAAATTCAATGTAAATAAATGCAAAGTAATGCACATTGGAGGTAAAATTTTATCATCTTACAGTATTATAAATTAACTATGACCTCAAGAAAGAGAGGTTTCAGA